GCTAAAAGATTAAGCATTTACAAGTGATGTCCCGTTTCAGAAGGACACGAAAGGAGGCTTCAAAAGTATTCGTTATGTTTTTATCTCCTAATCGTATAACTTTTATATCTTCCATCTTCCATTTATATTAGATGTAAACTATGTAAAAAACATTTCATAGTTAAAACACACACACACACACACAAACCCACCTCTTTGAACCTCAGTGAGAGATTCAACTTCTGGCAGGTACTGATGACATGGAGGCCACACTTAACCCCTAGGAACAAAGTCTGACTCTGGGCCTCTAGATGTTTCTCAGTTCTCGCAGGTTCTGTCCTGTGCTGGACTCCCCAGAACTCTAGCACAGGTGGCTGCACCCAGCTCCAGCTCTCCTTAGGTTTCCTGGCCTTTGGCAGCTTGCTCCTCCGTAGACTGCCACAGAGCCTGGATGTTGCCTCGGCCAAAGCCTGTGGCCCCCTGCCTCTGAATTAACTCTAGGAAGAAGGTGTCCTCTGCAAAGAGAGACTTGGTGAAGACCTGAAGCAAAAATTTGCCTTTTTCACCATCTAGTAGGATTCCCTGTCTGGCCAGCTTGCTAGGATCATGCCCGGCAGCTAAGATCTGACTTTCCTTGCCTGGCTGCTCGTAGTAACCTTCGGGAGGAGTCACGAGCTGGCCACCGGACAACGTCACCCTTTCAGTGGCTTCTATGATGTCGGGGGTATACAGCGCCACATGCTGCAGGCCTGGCCCCCTGTGCTGGGCCAGGAAATGCTCCAATGGGTCTTGTCTATTGGTGGTTCTTTGCAGGGGCTCGCCTAGCACAAGCATGGGGATAGCATTACTTAGTGGATTCTGCATGGCAGAGATCCTCAGCCCGCCTTGCCCATATCCTGTTTTCACCTCGAGGCCTCCCTCCGGATCCTCACCTGAGCTCAGTGGGTGGTGTTGAAAGCCTAGGCAGTCATGGAACCAGCGCATCAGTGTGGGGGAGCTGCCGGGAGTGCAGGCCAGGGTCAGGTGGTCTACATGGCTGATCCAGGCCGGGCCGGTTGCAGAGGGGCCGGTTGCAGAGGGCAGGGGCTGGAAGCCCGGCAGGAAGGGTCCGCGGTAGTCGGCGCGCTCCAGCAGTGTCAGGCTGACGTTGCCTGCCGGCGAGCTCACCACGGTGTAGGTGGCAGCACCCTGCACATCCCGCACACTAACAGGAGGAACCAGCACTCTGCAGCCCCGCGGTGCAAGCGCACGGGCGGCTGAGCCCACGTCTGCTACTTCGAAGCACAGGTTGGTGGCACTGGGCACGGCGTAACGCGGATCCAGGCCATAGAGCGTTTCCCCCCCCCCCACGCCCTCGTTCACCAAAAACACCGCGTGGCCGCTGCTTAAGGCCAGCTGCCGCCAGCCATCTGCCTCCCGCGCCGCCAAGGGCTTGAAGCCGAAGAAGCGCTGCAGATCTCGGGCAAGCGACTGTCCCGCGGGCACATGGAAGGTGATGTGGCACAGACGGCGGACGAAGGCGGCCATGGCGGTCTGGTTACTGACCCCAGACTCTCCTTCTCCTGCGGTCGCTCACTTGTTCTTCCGGACTCCAGAACTCTCAATCCCAAGCTAGTCGTCGCAAACCGGTGGAGTCCAGTTTTGCCCGCAGAACGCGTTCCTCCTTCTTTTCCGGGAAGAAGTCACAGACGGACCCCTTGGAGCCTCGCAGTTTTCTCTACCGGGCTGCGCCACCCCACCCTGGAGATCCCTCGGAACCACAGGGTCTGGGCTGTGTGAGTGGTGAAAACTAAGAGAGCCGGTGCCTGCGGAGCAGGATTGAGGAGGCGGAGCCAGCGACTCCCCCGGGGATACTTTCACCCCCC